TGAGTGGATGTTGACATTTTTGTCATGTTCTCAGGTACCAAACCCAATAAAGTACAATATTTATATATATATAAATAATATAATGAATAAAGAACTATATATTTGTTATATGAATTATTTAGATATATAGATTTTTGGTATATATTATACTGTAGTTGTTATTTAAAAATGTATAAATAAATAAACACACACACACACACGTGCACGCACACTTACATTATTAAATAAAATTCACCCTGTCTTAACTTAAAATCATCAGCATAACAGAAATGACCCACTTGGAAGAGTATGAGCATGAGAAAATGGCTGCTCTGCCACAGCTGTAGTGTGAGAATGTGTAGTTCCTGTCTCTCACTTTTTTTAAAAGTGGCAGCAACAGTCAGCAAGTATCGGTTGCCCTAAAGGTATCACATGCCCCTAAAAACTGTTCTTGAAGCAGTAAATAATTCACCACGAGCGATTAGAGATGTGGTCATGGAAATCTGCTTGGAGAACAGGGTTTGGAGGCAGCTGCGACCTTGGGCACTTGTTTGTATTTGAACTTCGAGAGAGGAAGGAGGCTCTGTTTTCAGAAAAAAAGCCAAGCCACTTCCTCCAACTCACTTTTAAGACCAAGGGGCGGGAGGAAGTTTTCACAGTAAAATGTTTATGCTCTTTCTGCCCCCTCCCCTTCCCGACGAGACCTAAAGAAACCAAGAACGGGAGTGTTGCGCAATAGGCCTTGTACTTGTTTTTGTTTTACTTGCCTTTCGTTGACACTCAGGGAGTCAAATAAGTTTGAGAGTCCCACAGGCTCGACCTGCACAGGAAGCCGCCGTGGCGTTTGCATAGAGCCAGTAACTTGGGGCCTCATTGGCTGGCTAATGGACCAATGGGGATGCTGTGTGGTGGGGGTGTGCGTTTATGAGATGAGCCGTGTTTGTTCTTAACGGGGGAGGTGCCCAGTGGCCTCTCTGCAGTGAAGCTGTGTGTGTTCTGTGACAGATGTGAGTTTGCCCAAATCTCTTCATCTGCTGCACAGGGCTATAGCCACTGACTGGAGGTGTTCAGTGTGTCCCGCTAGGACGCCACCGGGTCCGGTAACCACCTCACGTGTCTCTTTCTGTAGACCAACACTTCTGTCCAATTTCAATTACATTTATTTATTTTTTTTAACACACCATATGCTCTAGAGCACTGGGAATGCAAGGCAACGTAAAGTCAAACACACTTTACTTGCAATAATGTTACATATAACAAACTAGGCAGTGATTAATGAATAATGCATTACACATATGTAGACTGAGAGGAGTAAGGCTTTGTATTCTGAAGTCCACACCTTCTACATGACCTGACCGATCAAGTCATTGCTTGCTAGACCACTGCTATACAGACTATGTGCCACGAGATGGCAACGTTGCCCATTTTCTCTCCTTTAACTCCTCTGTCCTTCCAGCCCTGTGGTTTTATAGTACAGCCGTCTCCGTTTTTTAATTTCTATTGATTTAGTTGCATTTTCTAAAGCTGTAAACTCTTGTCTAACCTGACTTGTTTATCCATTTTTTTTGTTCTCGCTTTTATTTGACTCTCTCTTTACCTTTACTGTTGTGTTTCCTCCTGTAGAGCAGAAGACAGTTTACGCGAGGTGCTCTTTCTTTCACCAGTCACAAGATTTCCTGGAAAACTTGCAATAACTTTGCCCACTCGCTAAATCATTTGTATTCAAGCAGAAATCATTGTTTGTTTTAAGCGGAAATATTCTCAAATTAATAAATAAAATTAAAAAAATCCACATTTCCCTTTAAAAATAAAATAAAACAAAAAGTGCAAGTTTTCCACTATTCTTCTCAGACTCATGTAAACGGTGATTCATCAATTAGATAAACTTTTTAAATTAATAATATACTCATTATTTTTATATTATTATTATTACTATCATTATTATTTATATTTTAAAAACTTTTAAATGTGTTATGTTTTTAATTGTTTGTTTCTAATTTAAGAGTGTTGAAATATTGCACTTTCCAGAATATAGAATCAATTTCACGTACCCCTACACTTAAACCATTATAATAAATGATTGAAAAGTGTTAAAATCAGGGAAATTTATTTTGTGCTTTTTTTTTTTTAAATGATACAATTATTAATGTTCATATTTGGTTATGATTGAAATGATACATGATGGGGTATAAGCATGTATATAATGAACATCAAAAATATTATAAAGATTGTTGCATCATGATCTGAGAGTAGCTTCTTTGACATCATTGCCAAAATGGTCAGTATTTGTATTCAGAAACATTATCATTTCAAAAGTTAATTTAGCGCAACTGTTTGTCAAAAACATGAAATAAAATCATTACCATTGCACACAGATAATCAGGTCAGGAAAAATACTTACCTGACCTTAATTGAAGAATCACCTAAACATAACATGCGATTTTTCCACAATGCATGCTATAAGTGCATGAAATCTGTCCCCATGTCTTGTTCACTTTGTCATTTGTTTATGCTTTCTTGTCTTGCACCAGAATGCAAATCCTTACTCCTTTTCCCAGATGTGATTTGAGAAGTCATTTAATTTGCAGATAATGCCCATGTAGTGTTGGTTTGCTAATACAGGCATTAGATTGTAACAGTAAAAAAGAACAAGGGTTATTAAGAAGACAATGCCCGTGTACTTTTCTAAACAAATTGCTATTTGTTTCCCCTCCTGCAGGAAATGTCAAATTCATTGACTACGAATATGCTGGGTACAATTATCAAGCCTTTGACATTGGGAATCACTTCAATGAATTTGCAGGTAATGCGACACAAACACAAATTAAGCTATTGTATAGAAGAGAAAAGAACCTGCTTAACCAGGTGTGTGTGGCCTTCTTGTGATTGACAGGTCTGAATGAGGTGGACTACACCCTGTATCCTGGGCGAGAGCTCCAGTTACAGTGGCTCCGGGCCTATCTGGAGGCCTACGAGGAGTACAAATCACAGGGCACACAGGTCTCCAACACTGAAGTGGAGGTGCTGTATGTGCAAGTCAACCGCTTCGCCTTGGTGAGTCGAAACTGGATTTATCCACCACGGTCTGGAATCGTGACGCATTGCGAACCATCTGCACCCTGCCAAATTAAACATCAGACGTTTGTTTTTTCAATGTAATTACGGTCTTTAATGACATGCAGCATTTTGCAATGTAAACTGGAACATCGTGAGCAGTTTAATTATTTAGCAGATATATCGTCTGCATTAGAGCGACGCTTGAAGTGGAGACAAAGGTATGAATAGTGATTGCAAGTTGTCAGAGAAGGAGCCTTGACATCCTGCCCATCTTTGCAAGCATCTAATGAGAGGACCTCAGGGTGTTTGTGTGCGTTCGCAGGCCATTCTTTGACGATCGAGTAGCACACCTGCTCTTTCTTGATGGTGATATTTACTTCGGAGAGGAAAGCTAATTTAATATCCGGTTTACTCTCGCTGTTTAGTCTTTTGTGATCAACAGACGTGTTCAAAGCAGGGCAGACATTTTTTGATTTCCAGTTTGTCAGGGGAAGAAGGATAAAAACCCACAAAGAGAAAAAAAAGTCAAGCTCTGGCTTTCAGATATGGTGAACAAAACTGTCCCTGAGAGGGACCTTGAGAGACGCTAAAACAAATGCCTGAGGAATGCTGTAGTGTGAGGCTTAATGAATGTGATTTGTTGCCTTCGTTTTGGATTCCTTTTTCTGCAGCCTTAATTGAAAGCCAGAGAAAACTGAATAGCGCTGACATTTTTTTACTGTATTAATCAGAATATGAGCATATTCTATTAAGTAAGTGTCATGTTAATACACTAACCTGCCATAAACAGATTAAGCCAATATTACGGTTTCTAGAAATCTAAGGCAGCTGTCTTATGCTTTTAATAATCAGAATTTTGTATTCTGGTTATTCATTTATATAATTATAATTTTTATTTATAATTTTTAATAAAAATTAATACTTTTATTCAGCAAGGATGCATAAAATTGATCAAAAGTGACATTAAAGACTTTCTGTTTATCAAAGTGTTTTCACAAAAATATGTTTTCAAGATTGCATTAATTAAGAAATGTTTCTTGAGCACCAAATCAGCATATTAGAATGATTTCTGAAGGATCGTGTGACACTGAAGAGTGGAGTAATGATGCTGAAAATACAGTTTTACTATCACAGGAGTGAATTACATTATATAATTATTAATTAATTTTATATTATATATTATATAGTGAAATAGAATACAGTTCTTTTAAATTAAAATAATAATATTTCACAACACTGTTTTTGATTAAATAAATGCATCCTTCAAAAACATTAGAAAGTCTTACCAAACCCACATTTTTGAACAGTAGTGTATTTTAAATGAATTTATAACTATATAAAATAATAATTGAATTGAGTTTATTTAACCAGTATTTCCAAATAATATCTATACATTCTAAGGACTTGTCATTTTAGATAGACGTGGGTGTGCGGCGCCCATTGAAGCTCTGCTTTATGTCGTCACCCTGATGTTTGCACACCATCTTCACATGCCTGAGCCAGGAGACACAGAGTTTTATAAAAAGATGGTCTGAATATACTCAGAGATTGTGTCTGAGGGGATCGGGACCCTTGACTCTGACAGAGGCAAACATTTATTCTGTGCAGTTGAGCGAAAAACACAGAGGATAGAGACTTTATTATAGGCCAGCAAACCCGTGATCTTTACTCACATGATGGCTGGAGTGATTCAGTCTCATCAGAGGGCTTTAATAGAAATGCCACATTTTATAAGCTTTTACTTCACTGTCAGTGATCCAGAATCAACACAAATACCTTCCATGCAGTTATCTTTTTTCCTTTTTTAATGGGTCCACTAAAAGGAAGCCGTCTTTGCTTTGAAAGGCGTGGGTCAAATGTTTCCAAGCGACAATACAACATACAATCTGTCACAGTTAACTTCAGTGTCAGGGTGAATCTCACTGTCAGTGATCCAGAATCAACACAAATACCTTCCATGCAGTTATCTTTTTTCCTTTTTAATGGGTCCACTAAAAGGAAGCCGTCTTTGCTTTGAAAGGCGTGGGTCAAATGTTTCCAAGCGACAATACAACATACAATCTGTCACAGTTAACTTCAGTGTCAGGGTGAATTTCACAAAGCCTGTCAGGAATATTCCTTAGTCCCGTTTTACCCTGAAATCAAAATAGAAAAGAAAGAAAACCTGTGTTTATTAAATGAAGTCTGTTTTGGTGAACAATAAGATTTGTGTATTGAAACATTGTTTTTATAACATCTGCCATCTCTTGTCAGTTGTGTAAGGCAGATTTTCATTAATGTAATGGGAAGTTTGGGAACAAATGATATATTAATAGATCATTTGCAATATTTGTTTGTATTTGTTGTACTGAATTTAAATGACACTGACATGTCTGGTTTTGAGGATAGATTTTCATATGGTTTATTTATTCATTTATACAAATCTTCCAGGTACTGAAAATAGGCTTCTCTATTTTAAAGTAAAATATTCATGTCATATTCATATGACTTTGTGTTAATTTTATGTATTTTATAGTATTTATGAATACTTTGAAATAGCTTTTATTTTTATATTTTAGTTTGTTTTAGTTCAATTTTATGCATTGTCCTTTTTATTAGTATTTTTTTAATTATTTTTATTTAGCTTTATTTTATTTCAGTTATAGTCATTTTAGTATTTATTTTTAAAGTTGATGGTTTTTATAATGATATTTTATATTTAAATGTATTTTATATTTATTTTATAAAATGTATCTTATCTTATTTAATATTTAATTTTATTTCAGCTTAATTTTAATTAATTAAAAAAAATACAAGTCTTATTTAACAATGAAATACAAGTCTTATTTAACAATGAAAACACTAATATGAATATAATTATAGTTACATATAATTATTTTAGATTTTGGGATACAGTATGGATACATTTAAAAAAAAATATTTACTCCTCAATACCCTGATATCTTCCTCTGTGAAAAAGTAAATAAAAATATAAAGCTATCCTCATTTTTCCTCATGGTCTTTGGTTTTTGTTCTCCTCAGGCATCTCATTTCATTTGGGGACTGTGGGCATTGATCCAAGCTCAGTACTCCACCATTGACTTTGACTTCTTGGGGTACGTTTTCACATTTCAACAACAACATCCATATAATCAAGATTTCAACGATGTATTCTCATTCTTGGCCACCAAATTTGCTTCTGCAGATATGCAGTTCTCCGTTTCAGTCAGTACTTCAAGATGAAACCAGAGGTGATGTCACTGCACCTTCCAGAATAATCTCTCAGGTCTTGGCTTGCGCTACTCCAGAGAAGGGCTCCCCCTGGTGGACACAAGAACTAGCTGGAGACCTCTTCAGTTTGTAGACTGAACACTGCACTTACTTGTCTGAACACATCATTTTAGATAAGCCCCAAATCACCTCTGAACTCAATGCTGGTTTAGCGTTGTAGAAAACCAAGCACCGAAGCCCTCCTCCTCGCTTTTATGTGGCGGTCGAGAGAGAGGCTCACCCCAGTGCCCTAGTCCATTTTCAGTGAAGTGAAATTGCCAATTGAGGACGCAAACAACTCATATAGATGGCTTACTCTAGAGCCTCGACTTGCCAATGTATGTTAAGAGAAGCCCTGGAGAATCTCAAATTCAGAAAAGCTCCCCAGATACCGATCCTCCAAGGACAGGGAACCTCTGACAACAATTATTATCTGAAGACAGAGAGGAGGGCCGCTGGGTCTGTTTTCAGCGACTAACTGTCATCCTAAAGGTCATTCCTGCTTGTTTACACAACTTTTAATGGGAGAAATCAGTGTACTGTAAGATATTGTAGGGTTTACTGTATGGATAGTCACTGATTCTGTCGAAACGGTGAACTTTGGGCCTGTCTGTTCCTACGAGGGTTGTTCCTGGCACAGCTGCATTAAGATGTGTAATTTAGGGACCAATAGAAGCTTCGTTGTTCGTTTCTGGCAGACGATTCCTCCCTCGTCCTGTCACTGTGAACCACTATGTAGCGCATTCATAAAGTTTCTCATTGTTTTCTCAGCATGGTGCTTAGAGAAAGTAGACGCACAGTAGCCGTTTCTACAACGAGCCGGTAGCTAATCTGAAGCCCACACCAAAGTGCTGATATTTCTTGCTTGTACATTATGCACAATGTATTTTTTCACGGTAGAAATAACATGTGGTAATATTTACATTTAGAACGGTGGTTTTTGTACTTATTTAAATGGCGCTGTTAAAGAGGTCGCTCGTGTGCTTTTTCTGGGAGGTATCTGTGAACTTTTTGTAATGGATGTATTTCCTGGAAGCTTTAACGACGGTATCGCCTGCTGGACGCGCTAAAGCTTTTGTATTCTTAACCCTCGTCCACATAGCTAAATTACAGGCCTTTTTGCACAAACTCTGATTGCTTTAAGAACAAAATCAGTCCTCTGTTCACCTTGCGATGGGTCGCTCTTTCTGCTTAAGACTAGTTTTAAGTGCACATGGTGGGAGATTTTTGGTAATGCTTTTAATTTTTCAGGGTCCCTGTTACTAAATTAACTGTTATAGTGAAGACTATTTATGTGTAACCAAGTTACACAGTAATGGCATAGTAGTTTATTAATCAGATATCTTACTCAGAACCAAGGTCAGAAATGAATCTGAAAAAATGCCCTAGAAATGTTAAATGTAAGGGCAAATAATGTCCTTGTGTAAATTATTTATATATATATATATATATATATATATATATTATCTGTTATACCACTGTTCAGAAGTTTGGAGTCAATTCGATTTTATTTTATTTATTTATTTTTGAAAGAAATTAATACTTTTATTCAGTTCTTTTCTTTTTATTCATCAAAGAATCCTGAAAAAGTATCACAGTTTCCACCAAAATATTAAGCATCACAACTGGGTTTAACATTAATAATAATAAGAAATGTTTTTTGAGCACGAAATTATTATATTAGACTTATTTCTAAAGTTTCATACTGAAGACTGGAGCAATGGCTGCTGAAAATTCAACTTTGCCATAAAAGTAATAAATAACATTTTAAAATACTTAAAAATGGAAAACTTTTTTTGTACAAATGAATGCAGCCTTGGTGAGATTAAGAGACTTCTTTAAAAAATATTAGAAAGTCTTACTGACCCCAAACTTTTGAACATTTAATTTCTTTTTTTTTCTTTTCTTTTTTTTTAGGGCTGATCTAATTTTGTGTTTAGACACCATAGTTACCACTTAAACCAATTGATTCATTTAAATTATTTGGCTTAAAATATCTTAGAGAACAAGGTAAAATATGCCACTGAAATCAATTTCACTTAGTTTCTGTTGCTGCTCAATACACATGAGCAATGTATTATAAATTGTGAAGAAGTTTTCTGGTGCAAACCTCAGCTCTGAGACTTGCCTTCGCACCGCCTGGCTACCCTCATTTACCTCAATTTCCTGTGTCAGTTTGCCTATACTACAAATAACCATATTCAATTCTGTAAATACTAGAAACTGTGAATTTCTGGTTGTTTTATTGTATTTTGACATATGCTTCTTTTTCTATGCCAGTTCTTTTGTAACTGTCAAGCTTGCACTTTGATCATGTTTTTGAACGGTCAAAGACCACACAGAATGCTACATTTGACTTTTTCCTTTCTTTTTTTTTTGTTCTTTTACACTAGAAATGTTCATCAAACAGTAGTAGTGGGAAATTTCTCTCCTTTAACAGTCTGTGAAGATTAACTGATTTCTTTGCACTCTTTAGAATTTACATAAACCCTAAAGTGATGGGTGGTTCCAACTTTCAGCCAATGAAGTGAACATAAGATGTACAGGACTGCCTCATGCAAGCATCTGTTGGCGGTTTATAGTGTAGGTGTATATGTACAACTGTAAACAAACTGTAAAAGAAAATCTTTGCTTATTATTAAACAATGTCTGTTGTCAATAACTGAACAGAGATATTCTTTTTCTAAGAACTGTTAGATTTAATAATAATCTGGGGATGAAATCCTGAAGTGTTGCATTGTAGATTCTGTATCAAATCCTTTGAATAGAAATAAAATTAAACAAATTATATTTGCCCCATTTTCTTGTCTTGATTTCCCATTCTGCTTAAAAAAAGAGATCGTGTCATTAAAAATATTTTTATGCAATTTGCCTATACTTGATCTGTAATATGTGCATACAGAGCTCAATATATTTAACCCTCATGTTGTAATGTATAATAATGTATTACAAGGCACATAATGAATTATAATGCATATGCATTAATACCATTTAATAGCCAATTTTAATGCATTATACATAAAGGCTTTAAGTAAAGTGTTACCTAAATTGCTTCTAAATTTCTCATTATGATATATATTATTACCAAATATTGGATTAAAATTTTTATCAGCTTGTTTTCTTTAAATTAGGACTGGTTGGAACTGACTGATCGTAGGCCTCATTGATCTGAGCCTATGCACCTCAGTTTTTTCTACAAATATTGATATTATTCTCTCAAAAACTAAGGTGCATAAGCTCAGGCCTACAATCAGTCAGTTCCAAAAGGACATATAAAAGTTGTGCTAACTGAAAGAAAACAAGTTCACTAAAAGATACAGTCCAAGATTTGGTTATAATATACCATAATGAGAGATTTACAAGCAATTTATAAAAGCTTGGTCATTTTGAACTGGGAACACCAAATTAGGTAAAGGATTTTTTTTAGCACTGCACAATGTTACAATGAGTAATGGATTAAGCCACAATTTTTTGTTCACAAAAGTAGTTAACGGCAGTGAATGGGGAAAAAAAAGCATGCCTGCATTTTATGCTACAGAGTGTTTCAGAAAGAAATAATTATAACAGCGCTCCAGTTCAGACTGTAATTGAATTATATCCAGTCCCTCCAGCGACTTCCACCAAGAGCTCTGCATTAATTACCAAATTCAATATCCGTATTCACGCCTCAACTTATTTCCATTTTACAAAGGTCAAATTACAAACACTTGTCTGAAATAATTACAAGTGCTGAGACGCAAACATATCGAGATTTTAGGACAATTCTTGTGCCTCATTTACATACAATAATGTGAGCAAAAACATAACAACCCTAAAAGTTTGTTCTCTACATGTTTTCATCATTAAAAGCAAAATGCATCAAACAAAAAGCTCATGCATGCTGCAC